AGTGCAGCGTTTCCTCAGTACCGCAGTGCGCAGTTGCACGCTCAAGCCCTGGGAGGGCACTTGAATCTGGAATCTTATGACTCCAAGGTTAGAGCAACCAAGTGTATCACAACCAAAAGTGGAAACTATAAAATAATAACAAAATGCAAATCATTATTATTTTAAACATCACTGTACCAATTATTCCTCAAATTCGAAAATAGCATAAGGAAATGTTAAGATTTCAGTTTAACAATGCACAAGCAGGTGTGAAGGAGATAAGACACTGATGAACCAAACAGCTTCCTCCTGCTCCTATTTCCACTTAAAACAGATCATCATTTTGGGGTAGTAAGAACCAACGGTGGAGTCAGAGACAGTGTGGAGCTGGAGGTACACAGCATGCCAGGCAGCATCAGAGGAACAGAAATGATTTTCTGAAGAAGGGTCCTGACCCGAAACGTCAGCTTTCCTGTTCCTCTGATGCTGCCTGGCCTGCTGTGTTCCTCCAGCTCTACACCGTGTCATCTCTGACTCCAGCATCGGCAGTTCTTACTATCTCTGTAGTTTGAGACTTGATCTGTTTGGCCGTGATATGAATGCAACTTCTTGTTCATTAACTACTGGAGTGGGATTCAAACCTCCAGTTTCTGCACTAGAAATGGGAACATTACTATTGCACCATAATGCCATCCTTGCATTAATGTAGCTACTCTTTAAAAGTGCCTACGCTACTCTCTACAATTCCATGTAGTAACATGTCCCACATTTGAGCAATCTCTCAAGAGTTTTTCCTGAATCTATTAGATTAATTGGTCATTTTCTCATGTGCTTTCTAGTTTTCGGCTCCTCCACAAATGAAAAGATATTTTCAATGTCTACTCTATGAAATTCTCTTCATAATTTTGAAGATTTTTTTAGGTCAACCTTGAAGTTTCAATTTTCTAGAGAAAAGAGTCAACCAGTAATCTTTCCTGATGGTCATAACCCCTTAGTTCTGATATCTTTTGTCTACTCTGTCAGTTACTATTGTGTCTTTTTCTGCAACTTGCCATCAGCGCCCATATCCTGAGAATAAAAAGGAGGAATGAAATTATTACTTCCCAGTCTTGAAGGTATTTTACGTTGTTTTCCACAGGCATTAATCTACCTTTGGCATGTTGCTCAAATGGGGATTTATTCATTTCTGAGCTGACATTGTGCATGCTGCAAGTGTATTTTCTTGTGGGTAGCATCACAGATAAGCCAGGTGTATTCTTCTCTGATACTTCCATTCCAGCACGGCTTACAGGATTGTCAGTAGAAGTGGAAGTGTTGCTAGCTTGTCTTTCCCTGTCGATAAGGATTGGTGAAATTGCGTATAGTTGATGCTGTGTCAAAGGTATGTTAACTCAAACACTGCAAATTCTGCATCTCATGTGCACTTAGCATAGAGCTAATGGAGTATTTTAATGTAAAGATGTTAAGATTATATAAAGGCAGTAAGATCTGTAGTATTAATAGAATTTTTCTTTTGATCAGCTACTCATCACACATCGGTGATTTTGTCATGTGGCATTTCAGGGTGTCACCGCTGAATATTTTCTGGATTCAATTATTATCAAGGAGATGAATACCAAATAGCTATAATTTCAATATAAGGTTATAATCTATTTTGAACAAGAAGTTTTTAGTAACCTGCATTCTCACTCAAATTTATGGTAACTACTCATTAATCTGAACCTTTTTCTGTCAATGTCATGAAGTAAATTACCTATTAGAGTCAGCAAAGATGGCTGAACTTACACATAGCAAACTGTAATCTTCATTCCCTTTCATCTTCTTTCCCACCACTCCACTTCTCATATAATTTTTTTTCTTTTTAAATACTATGCCATGATTATAAGTCTGTAATCTAGTTGATGGATTAAGCTGATTTTTGTATCGATTGAACTTGCTGTCATAATTTGTCATCTGAACCTTTTGATTAAATTATGCATTCAAGATCCGTACCAGATATTCATTATTCTGTAATCTGTTTTAAGTGTACAGTACACCAGAAGTGGACTCCTTTTCAAAAAAAGACATGTTTTTATTTTTGATCATGTTAATACCTTGAAATCATGAAACAAATATTTCAGTTTGGAGCAATTTAATTAAAGATGATTTATATTGTTCAGTTGCTGTTTGAGATAATGTACTTTCATTGTTAATGTTCTGGTGGTCAGATTAGCCTTTCCCCTGAGATAAATCTAGTGGCATTATAATGGTCTGTATTTTGCTCTGAATGGAGGCCATTTGCTTGGCTTGGACTTATTTGTTCATTGCTTCTACTTGTAGATGCATACTTATGGAAGTACTTGTCACCAACCATCCAAAAAGTGTATGCCTAATACAGGACATCTTGCATCTGTCCAAAGCATCTCTTTGACCAATCAGATTGAAAGATTGTTGATGAGTGGTGCAGAACCTGAACTATAAAGTGTCAGTTTGAGTACTAAACTCAATGCCCAATCAAGCACAGAAAACAAAATTAAGGCATGTCAATGATTAGAATGTGCGTGTAGAATGGGTTGGAAGCATGGAGAAGTGGAAGAGAGAAAATGATGGGTTTAAAAGATGGTGTCAGTACTGATCTACATTAGTAAGGGTGAAAGGGGGTTAGCTGGCAGTGTCTTTACAGCACATTTGAATTCACCTACAACATTTCAGTCATGCCTGTTGTGAATGATCTCAGATTATGTTCTTTACAATGCATGGAAGGGAGGGCCACCTGAGCCTGCAAGTTCAGCCATGTCCCACAGTACAACACTGGAGACTAAAATAGTATTTCAAAAAGACAAAGCGAACCCCAAAACACCCTGTTGTTTCTTCCATAATAAAGAAATGTCCCTAACACTCTGAATAATCAATCTATGTAAACCCACATTGTACATTTATATTAAATGAAACTAGCAAGTACTGGAAAGACATAGCAGGTCTGGCAGCATTCTGTGAAGTCAGAAACAGAGTTAAAGTTTCAGGTTGAAAGTGACTTTTTTTAAAGTAGTTTCTCCAGTTATTTCATTTTTGTGTTTTAGAATTCCAGCACCATAGCATTTTATTTTATTCTTTGGTCTCTGACAAAGCTTATCTCAATAAATGATGTTGATTTACATGTAGGTGAGTGGCAATGGAATTAGGTAGGAGAGTTGTGGCCATGATCCAGAGGCCTCCTGTTTGTCCAAGAGGCCCTTTTGTAGCTCACCTGTACCTGCTGCATTGTCAGCTGATGACAGGTTTCACCACTGAGAAGCTTTACCTGCCTTGTGATCACACGTCTCTACAAATTCTGGTTATATTCACATATATAAAAGATATCTGGCATTATACTTATAAAAGAACATAAAGACAGATTTGGTTTTGTAAAGTTCCTTTGATTAACTATATCAGTTTCTGGTAGCTTTTATGTTATGAACCTATTCAAACAGAATTGGTGAAGCCAGTCAGAGCTCTCCAGATATGTCTTAATTTTCAGCTCGATAGCAATTTTGTTATATTTTAATTTGTTAAATAATTCACATGAATCTCAATGTATTTTGAATTTATACATGACCTGAATGTTAATATTTGTAAAGCATGCAAGGTTAAATCTAAGGTATAAAATGTTTGAGTTACAATCCAGAGATTCATGTCTGAGAATAACTCTTGTATATATTTTGTAGTTTGTTGCTGTAGCAGAGTTCTCCATATCTGTTAAAATTAGTATTCAAGTAATAACAGGTGAATTTCCACTCAGGATCTGATTACTTATGGGAGATGTTCTACAACAAGTATTAAACGTCACTGCAGAATCTCACCCTTTCAAACAAAACACAAACAAGTATGTGTTGCTGGCGTTAAAAAAAATACTTTTCCTTTTTCTTTTTAACAGTGTGCTAATGCATTAAGGACAACGCAATAGTGTGTGTCACTAAACATAAATTGGCTGTTAATCCTGCTCCTCTATTTTGTTGCTCTGTCTTCATACTAGATGCGTTTACTTTCTGATGGATGTTCTCAAACACCTTTGTCAGCAGTTTCTTGAGACAGAAGGAAGAGAGATTTATGTTAAGATTTGCTCACATTTCTGATTTCACATACTTGTAGAACCAGTAGATTGTGTCTGAGGCCTAATGCCTGATATATGAAAGAGATATATACTACATGTTCACTACATTTAAATAACAGATTTTAAAAGAAAATGATTATGCTGGAATCTCTTAATATGACATTTTAAAATTAAGCCCATGAGCGGCTAAATGTCCATTGTGACTAGTCACAGTTGAAATGTGATCTGATTGATTTGATTATTTACAACTTTATTACTGCATTTCAATATTCTAGCCAATATTTATTCTCATCTCCCACTCTAAAGCAGAAGGAAACTGAAATACTGCTATCTATTTTATGACTTGTAGTACTTTTCTATCCTCGAATCTCTTCTTGCTCCACTATTTTTTTAAGTCCATTTTGTGTATTGAATGTGATATTCTTATCACACTGTATATTTCAAATCAAAAATATGCTGTAGCTAAATCCGTCCCAATTCTAGCCTGAACTTGCTGTATCTGGTAGTGGTTGATTAAGGCTAGTGGCAGTCTCGCCTTGTAGAGCATACACATGCTGTTGTACTATGTTGCTATAGTGAAGTGCTTTTTTTGTAAAGAAAAAGCAATAGATTGATTGTGTCCCTTCAATTGGCCCTGTAGACAGTATCACTGAATATAACTACTTTGCGCCTAGGTAAGGACTGTTAGCTTCAGTTGTGGCAAAAATACCTTGTTAAAAAGTAGTCTGCTTTGAAACTGCTAGCTGGCTGGGCTTAGTACGTACCTGTTTACAATGTCAGGACAGTGTGTTTCACTTGTTCCATTTAGATTGATTGAAGCTTGTATTCCCTGTTTGTATAATGGCAATACAAATAGAAAATGCTGGCAGTACACAGCGGGACAATCAACCCAACTGGCTGTAGATAAGGGGCACATAGTGTGCATTGGTAATGCTTGTAGCTTTCTGTGATCACCGGACCCTATAGGGATTGGAATGTGTAATGGACACGGGCAATGATCTTTAAAGTTAATTTGTTTCGTAGTTTAGTATGTTATTAGTTGTGCCTTTCCAAAATGGAACAATTTCCTTTGGTTTTATTTTGACTCAGCGTAACCTGACTGATTAATTAGAAAAGGAGTCTGAAAGCAAGGTTTAATTTGATGCTTTTTGCGATTCTTCATGAGAATCCTTTGATTCATAGTAAGTAGGAAGTTTTGACTGCCTGACTATAAGATTTGAATAAATTTTGGTTAAACTTACCTACTTCTTGCAGCATTCAATTGAGCATAGCACTTTGACTGGCACATTCAGGTGATGAACTTTAAATTCTGGCAGTTTGCTTCTTCAATACCCCAAATATATCTTCACTTCATGTCAGTTCATTTGAGGGTTAAAGTTGGGCCGTTTTGAAGTAAAACGTGATAAATTGGTGAAATTCCTGAAAGAGGAGGGTGAGAAGAAAGAAGAGAAGGTAGTATTGACTAGATTGTTGAAGGTTTGGTGTTGGGGACCTATACTGTTTTTATATATAATACAATTTTAAAATGCAGTGAAGCACCTAAGGATGGTTTCACATCTGTAACTATTGCAATAGTGCCAGATTAAATTCAATGCTAGTGAAATTTAGTTGAAATGAGCACATGGAACAAAAATGAGCAGTATTTGCTAAAATGTCTATTCTTAGAAATGTTAATCAGGGTCACGTTCATTAACAGTGGAGTGGCAATCTATAAAACATGTAAGATCATTGATAAGATGTTAGTTTGAAACTATGTAGTACTCTCACAAGATTCTAGTCACTGAGTTACAAGATTTGCCAATTGACAAGAAAAAATTGGATTTTTTAATGTGATGGATGACCCTTTCTACCTTCGAATTAATTTGGAACTAAATGGGTTTTGTAGCAAAAATAATTGGCATGAAACAAAATTATTCTAGGCAGTGTTATGAAAGGAAAGCTTTAAAATTGGTTTGGTAACGTTTTGCAGTAGTTATACATCTGTGTAAGTATCATCAGTTGGGCTAGTCCAACTTTGTGACAGTTATTAAAAACCAGTCATTTTATTTCTATTTACAGGAGAGCTCACACCTTGACAGTGTTATTCATCCTCACTTGTGCACTGGTATATGTTACTCTGTTGGAAGAAACGCCACAGGATACAGCATATAATATTAAGAGGTAAGTGAAGACTTCTTGCAAGTAGCTGATGTAATATTTCATTTCCATTGTTGAAATCCAATGCAATTGCAAAGTTTATTGTATTTTCCATTTCTCATGCTTTTCAAATCACTTGTTGATGTTGAACAGTGCCATGTTAATCTGCTTCAGCAAGTCTGGTGACAGAAATTACACATGGCAAAGATCAGAAGCTCTGTTTATGTCTGAGTTGCCGATTGTACATTTCGTCCACAGGTTAATCCGCCTGGCAAAGACCTTGTACAAAATTTTATACTTTGCTCTTCACAGAATAGGAAGAAGGGAAAATTGAACTGAATGATTTAAAATGATCTGTGATCATGGTTTCTTACAGGCTTTTAGGGGGTCCAGTTTGGAAAATGAAAAGCCTGTCTCTTTGCCTTTGAGTTAGGCTGTACTAGTCAATGGGAAGTTGAAGGCACGGGGTGGCAGAGCATAGAGGCTGGTTTCATATTGTTTCAACACCAAGATCCAGACCTACATCCAAGATCTTCAAAAGTCATTGCAATGCAGTGAGGGGCAGTGCTTGGGAAACAAGAAAAATTGCTGGTTGCTCACATGTTTAGGATTGATAAGCAGTGCCGCGTAAAATTCTGCCTGTATTCTATTGCACATCAAGTTTCACTTGCCCTACAGCCCTGTACTAGTTCTCAACCTCATGCTTAATACAGCAATAGATTTTCTCTTTCTTATCCCTGTAAATTCTCAAGCCTCATAATCACCTTAAATATTTACTCCCTCCACCTGTATGACATAGTGGCACCAATGTGTACCATCTATAACAGGCACAGCAGCAACTTCCAAACCTGTGACCTCTACCACCTAGAAGAACAAGTAAAACAGATGCATGGGAACCCTGTCATCTGCAACTTTTGCTTCAGGCCACACACCATCCTGACTTGTAACTATGTCACTAGGTCAAAATCCTTAGACCTCACACTCTGTTCTGTTTCTTAATCTTCCTCCCTTGGCAGCTGTATCCTTAGTTGCCTAGGTGCAATAATCCCTGCTGTTCTCCTTTCTTACCCCTTTTAATGATCCTTTTCAAAAGCCATGTCTTTCGTCAAACTTCTGAAGAGTGAAAAGTCACCAGACTCAAAATGTGAATTTTGCTTTCTACCCACACATGCTGCCAGACCTGCTGAATTTTGCCAGCAATTTCTGTTTTTGCTTAGATCTCCAGCACCTGCAAATCTTTGTTATATTCATTAATCAAGAGTATTGGTCATATCTCCTAGCCTCTATTCCTTTGGTTTGAAATCTGCTTTTCTTTTATCTCTGTGTAGGCCCATGTGTCATTTTTCAATGTTAAAGGCATCATACAAATACAAGTTTCTGAGAGTGTGCTGAGCTTTGTGAATGAAAACTTGGGAGGTTTATGTCTATGAAGATCACTTATAGAGGCAGGAGGATCATTTGATAGTTACAGATTGCAGTGGGGTGTACACATGTCATTAGTTGAGTGTTGCTGTAGTTCAAGTGGAGATTTTAGAAAGGCAGCACCCTATCCTCTGCCAATTTCTGTGAGTTCAAGTCTGTTTTATTCAATAGATGTCTGACTCTTCAAACACTTGTCTCCTTTCACATGACAGGGTCATTAGAAATTCAGCTCAGTCTCCATATGTTGCAGGTACTGCTCAGTTTTGTGAAAGCACACTATAGAATGTCAAGTTGATTGCCCAAATAGAGCATAAACAAATCTACTGAAAGACACTGTATTATGTGGAAAAGATACGAGGCCTCCTTTGATAGGAAAATTAGAAAGCATAGTATTACTTAAATGAAGAGAGCCTACAGAATGATGCATTACAGAGGGATCTCTTTTTACACGGATCACAAAAAGTTAGCATGGAGTTTCAGCAAGCATTTAAGAAGGTGAACAAAATGGGCGATGGAATATGAAAGTGGAGAAGTCTGTTACAGCTGTACAGGGCATTGGTCAGACTGCATCAAGAGGACTGTTTACAGTCCTGGTTTCCTCTCTTAAGGAGAGATGTACTTGCAATGGAGATAGTTCAGAGAAGGTTTACTAGCTAATTCTTAGGATGAGGAGTTTGTCTTATGAAGAAAGATTGAGCAATTTGGATCTCTATTCATTGAAGTTTAGAAGGATGGGATTATCTTATTCAAGCATTTAAAAGTTCTGAGAGATCTTGCCAGAGAAGTTGCTGAAAGGATGGTTCCTTTCGAGGGATAATCTAGAAGGCAGTAACTGTTTCAAAGTGAGGGTATCTTCCATTTACGATAAAGATGAGGATGAATTCTTCTCTTAGAAGTTCCAACTAACTATTGGAATTTTCTAAGCCAGACAGCAGCTGAGGCTAAGCCTTTGAGCATATTCAAGGTAGAGTTAGACAGATCTTTGACTAGTGAGTCAAGGTGGAGGGGGGGCGGTGGTGGGGCAGTTGGGAAGTGGAGATAAGGCTGCTATTAGATCAGCCAGATCTTATGAATGGTGTTCTAGGCTGGAGGACTGAATGGCTTATTCTTGCTCCTACGTCAGACGTTCTGTGTATGTGAAGTTTGTTTCTATGAACAGAGAGCAAAGTTGAGATTAGCAGAATATTCAGGTTTATTCCGCATGGTGATAACTGGTGAGCCTTTTACACCTTGAAAGTGTGAACTTCAAGGATATTTTGATTAAAAGAGACTATGTTTATTTTATGGTAAACTCCAATTGATATTTGATCCAAGAGAATATATTGCTGTTTATTTGTGGTAAATCGCAGTATCACCAATTTATAGGTTGTAACTCTGAATGGATGAGGTTGAGTCAGTGTTTCTTGATCTAGCTGATTTTGTGATTTTCTGACTAATATTCCCATTGTTCTCTATGCAGTGCAAACAAGTGAATTTTTGTCTACTCGTTCTGATACAGAATGATTTGGGATTCTACATTGGCACATAAAATGCAAGTGCATGGGACTGGGTTAGTGGATTGACATGAATAGAGAACTCATTGGCAGACAGGAAACAAAGAACAAGAATAAATGTGAGATAACAAGGTGTAGAGCTGGATGAACACAGCAGGGCAAGCAGCATCAGAGGAGCAGGAAGGCTGACATTTCGGTCCTAGGTCTAGTGGTCCAAGTGGCAGACAGTAACTAGTGGGGTAATGCAGAGATCGGTGCTCGGAACCCAGCTATTCACAATATGGATTAATGATTTAGACGAGGGAACTAAACATAATATCTCCCAAGTTTGTGGACAACGTAATGCTTGGCTGGGTGGGTAAACTGTGAGGAGGGTGCCAAACTGCTTCATTGTGACTTGGGCAAGTGAAGTGAATGGCCAGATGCACAGCAGACAAAGTATAATGTGGATAAAAGTGAGGTTATTCACTTTGACAGAAAAAACAGGAAGGCAGATTATTATCTGAATGGCAGTAAATTGGGAAAGGGGAAGGTGCAACAAGACCTGAGGTATCCTTGCACAGCAGTTGCTGAAAAGCAAGCATACAGGTGCAGCAGGCAGTGAAGAAGGCAAATAGTATGTTGTCCTTCATAGCGAGAGGGTTTGAGTACATGAGTACTTGCTGCAATTTTAGAAGGACTTGGTGAGATCATACCTGGAGTGTTATGAGCAATTTTGATGTCCTTATCTGAGAAAAGATGTTATGGCTGCGGCAGGAGTGTAACAAAGATATACCAGACTGAGATGACATGAAGAGAGAGACTGGATTCGGTTCAGACTATATTCACTGACTTTAAAGAAATGAGGGGTAAATCACATAGAAACCTATAAAATTCTAACAGGACCACACGGTAAATGCAGGAAGAATGATCCTGATGTCCAGGGAGTCCAGAGCCAGGGGTCACAGTCTAAAAATATGGGGTAGGACATTTAGGACTGAGATGAGGAGAAATTTCTTCACTGAGAGAGTGGCGAGCCTGTGGAATTCTCTGCCACAGAAAATGGTCGAGTCAAAAACATTGAATATTTTCAAGGAGGAGTTTGATGTAGTTCTCGGGGCTAAAGGAATCAGCGATATAGGGAGAAAGCAGGAACTGGGCACTGAGTTAGATGATCACCCATGTTGGTATTGAATAGTGGAGCAGACTCGAAAGGCTGAATGGCCTACTCCTGGTCCTGTTCTACAGTGTTTCTATTTGTCTATTTAAGTAATCTTTGTAAGCATAACCATAGTAATTCTGTCCCTTACGATGAATGTTTTTGCAAACCATAGTTCAGTATTTCTGAGTAGTTCGTAACATTCTGTGTTCAGAGCTGTTATTAGTTGGCAGTCTCAAAGGAGCTATATTTTCAGGACTAACATGAGAGAATATAAAGATGTAATGGAATAGGAGGTTTGTTTAGCCAGTTAGGTGTGTTATATAAATGTTGATAGCATTGATGGATGTTTGATTTCTTTCCCCTATCTGCCCACAGCAACTGCAGGCTATCGGATACAGAATTCAAACCTCCCTCTTATTTATGTGTGCAAAGTCCTCACCCAGTTTGACTTCTCAATTGTTTAACTCTAGCCTTAAGATTGCACTCTCTTGTTGTGGATTCTGTACCATTGCATGTGTCTGTCAGTAGACTATATATGTTGTCTGCTAAAGCCTTGTAAGTTAGTGGTATGTTTCTAATTCAGTGTTTAATTTCTATCTGACAAGCTTCTGAAAGTCAAACTGATGAGCTTGGAAAACAAATTCCGTTGCATGCTGGCCGGTTAACACACTTGGCAGCTGCATTATGAATGTTTGTTCTTGTGGCATAGAGGCAGTTTGAACTAGAACAGTTTTGAGCAATGATTCGTAATGGGACTAGGAATTTAAAGAGTTCACTTTGGAGAAGGGTTGAAGTTTGGAAATTCTAGGCCTTGTTAAAGAAATTAAGTAGTTTTCCTTTGTGATAAACAACCCTGACTCCTTGGCCTTTTGACAACATGCATTCCTTCTGCTCACGGTCACATGTAAGCTGCATTTGGTGACAGAAGTCTGTCACTGTATCCTGATCCAATCAAATGATTAATTATATTCTCCCATATTTTAAAATAGTTGCAGTAAATATGCATTTTGAAGTTTCTGTAGGGAACATGTCATGGGCAAGCATTTTGCTTCAAGATATAGCTGATCTAATAAACTTCAAAACCAAACTTAAATTGATTTATAACAAAAACAGATTTTGCTGGAAAAGCTCAGCAGGTCTGGCAGCATCTGTGAAGCAAAATCAGAGTTAATGTTTTGGGTCCGGTGACCCTTCCTCTGATTTCTCTCCACAGATGCTGCTGATCTTTTCCATCAATTTCTGTTTTCATTTCTAATTTACAGCATCTGCAGTTCTTTTAGTTTAAATCTATTTATGTCATGTGAATCTCTGAATGAGAGTATTGTATACAGACCACTTCTCATGATTTTTAAAAAAACATCTGTGCTATTGAGGCAAGTTTTATGTCACATTTGTCTCTTTTGATTTACTACCATACATGTACCGATGAGTAATTGTTTACGCATGTCATGTAGTTTGTGTAAAATGTTATTTGAATTGAAGGACGAATGGTTACCAAAGTTGCAAAGTTGAGATAATCCTGCTCAGTTTCTTAAAATACATCAATTCAAGGTGTATTCAAACTTAAGTGTCAAAATCATTCAGTTGAGTTGTGAATGATAAAATTTAATATACAGTAAACAGTGTTTTCTCGATGTTCCTTCATAGGGTTTCAAACTTTTAATTTTTCCTTGGTCTGCACATTCCACACATGCCTTACAGCTTCCACCACCATCAACACCCGCTCCACTTCTTTTGCTAAGTACATTTGTGCAGTAATAGTGCTTAATTTTTTGTTTGTGCTTGATTGAATGCATTTAGCTTGTAGTGCAAGCAACAAGCTCATACAGCTCCTGAAATTGTTTTCAGGTTATTAGTGAGCCATTATTAAATAAAACCTAATTAGGCTACATCTTAAGTGTGGGAGGTTTAACTAGGTCATAACATTCTCTTCCTGAGGGAACATAGAAGTAGACTCCTTTTGTGGATGTAAGTCAGACAGAAAGTTGATCGCAGTGAAACAGAATGATATATGTATACATTTTACTTCAGTTAAACAAAGGTTAGTATGGTAACTAATAAGAATTATTTCTTGTCTTTAAACACTTATCTCTCTAGTGTGCTTTCTTAAAAAAAAAATATTTATTTCCTTTGAATCCTATTTCTGCATCTGGAAAGCAATGTTGTGGCAACCCAATTGGTCATATCCAGATCCTCATCTGAATAAGTTCATGTTCTTTGCAATCTTAAATGCTGTTCTGTTTGAAGAAATATTAATACAAAGTTTGATATTGATTGACGAATTTTAGCTTTACTCGGGGGCATGCATCAATTATGCCATCAACATCTCTCTCCGTATATATTTTTGGCTCATTTAAAAAGAAACACGTGTTGAAAATTCTGCCATTTCATTGCTTGAACCGTAAACATGTCAGCCTCATTAGTGTGATATCCTTTTCTGAATTTTATTTTACCTTTCCTGCCTTTGCATATCATGTGCTCATTTTGATCTGAGGTACATGCAGTGATTTGTGTTTATTTATGTGCAACTATTCAGACACGTAATCTTGAATTATGCTGTTACTCCTTTTGATGCGTTTGTAAATGCTCTTCCTGTGCAAGCCCACATAAAATTATTTGTAATGTGCATTTACTTGACAGTGTGTAGATTTGCATTTATCCATAGACCAATAAAACCAGTGCCCTGATGTAAATAATTGCTGATTTGGTCTGTACAATCATTGTCAGGATAATCTTAACACACAGGTGGCATTTAATGTGTTAGCAGTGGAGTGTCTAAACTGCATGAAGGAATGATTTACGGTTCATAGCAATATGACTGAATTTTCATGGTGAAACTTTTTTTTTGAAACTGTTTCAACAGAAGAAAATGAAAATCTGTAAAGCACAGTCTTTGATGAGGGTGCAAAGCCCTTGAATTAGCTAATGTGTTTAGTTTCCCTTCTGTTGTGATAAAAAAATTCACTTTGGCACACAGTTGCTTGTTGAATGACGATCCCCCTGAATCAGGAGGGAAATTAATTTATTCCTTCATTTTTCACATCACGAGTGCACAGCAACTAGGTGCTATTAAAACTTCTGAATTTGACATGGCAAGCACCTGATGAGTGCTGTGCCCCCATCTCTTACTATCTCACAGACATTTTGGGCACAAAAAATGATCCATAATAATGTAAACCAATTGATTTTAAAATGTGCATTAGCAACATGGTGACACTAGAAGGTTACCTTCATTGAGCATTGTAAGATCACTAAAGCAGGATAATTCAGCAAATGCAGTTTTAATCAGATTATTGCAGTGAATTGAACTGAGGCTGTAAGAATGAGCACCCTTCCCTCCTAGGAGCTGTGCAGTTTTCATTGGTATCTATACCTTTCTGTCTCTTGCATCTGTCTCACCTTTAATTCACTTTTTAAAACTTAGCTTTTTGCACTAGCTTTTAGTTATCTGTCTTAATATTTCTTTCTTTGGCTCTGCATCAGTTTTTATCTCCTGTGAAGCAGCCTGAGACATATTCTAACATTAAAGGTGCCACATAAAGGCATGTTTCTGTAGCTGATGACAGTTCTAAATATAAAGTTTTATTCTTCATCCCGCTACTTAAGCAGAAGGTGTTTATTAAAGTCACTGAGTCAGTCAGTCAGTCAGTTCCATGAAAGTTAAATCATCTTTACTCAAAATTTTCTGCTCATGCCGGAAAACGAGTGTTATGTATCTATCTTCTTATATGTACGATCCACGGGTATTAGGTTCACGTCTTGTGTAATCATTTTAAGATTTTCTTTTGTGCTTTAGTGTATTCCATTCTTTAATGAGACAAAACTGGAGTTGAAGCATTAACCTGTTATTGGATATTTGGATGTACACAGTAGTACTACACAATGAGGTTGAAAATGATCACTCCACATGCAAACTAACCTGTTTAGGCCATTTGTACACATTGGATCAAAGTTTTTTTTTAATTAATTTGCAAATAGTGAACACAATCAAGTGTTAGTGGATAGTACTCTAATCTTTATTTGAGAGATTTTTGTAAAGCCATGAAAATGAACATTTGATCAATATTATTTACTGTCTCCTTAATTTTACAGTAATGAAAGAAAAATGTATTCCTTGAGATCTGGATGTGTTCCACTACAGTGGCCAATTGGCATCTGAGTCTCTAGGGTTCACCTTGATGAGAAAGGACAGTAATTGCAGAGGCTTCACTGAATAAGGGTTTGGGAAGTCTACTGTACATTCTCCTCACTCTGCACTTTTGTCAGTTGTTATTCCACCATTGTTACCTGACTTCATCTATCATTTCTGAATTTGCTCCCAACTCTCCACTTTAAGCAAAATAAAACCTGAGAGTCTTTCTGTCAATTTTCCTTTCCTTTAATTTTTCTGTGTCAACAGAAGGAACAAATGATAAGAGTGCCTGCTGGGAAGGATGGGAAGGGAGTAGGAAGAAGCATTGAATGTTGGGTGAATGCAAATGAATTGACTTTTTCTGATTTTGTAGAGTTGTCCCAATTAGCAAGGAAATTCAAAGAACATTTGGGGTGGAGCATGGGATGGAGGTGGTTCAAACTTATTTGAGGAAAATTCTGGAACTGCTCAACCTTGGGAAACCACACTACAGACGACAAACACATATTTCTCAATCTGGTTGCAGTCGCTGACTGTTTATCTTGCCCCAGTTGCTGACGGTGGAACCATTCTGGTATGTATGGGGACACTCAACTTGCCAGAAATTGTCAAACTGGCTTAGCTATCATAGTTTGTAACTGCAAAGTTAATATTCATTTATTAAAAACTAAAATTTGCATTTGACGAATACTTAAAAAGGATATGACTTTGAAGATGCATTTAATTCAGAAATCTTGAATGTTTCTACATTTTACTGTTTGATTTACAGAGGCATTGTTGCCAGCATTCTTGTATTCCTTTGTTTTGGAGTCACTCAAGCAAAAGATGGGCCATTTTCCAGACCTCATCCAGGTACAGTACAGCAATTTCATAATGGCATTGTCAGACTTTCTTTGACTGTGTTGTCTGTTTTTAAAACAAGTTGTGCAAGTGTAATGAATATTGAAAGTATTTTACTTACATAATGCGCTCTGTCTTGCAATTCCAAAATAAAATCAGTTGGAAGGGGCTCTGTAAAGGGACTATAAATGTATTGCGTCAGTGATGACCAGTTCAATATATTTATGACACTACAATTCCTTGTCAAGCTATACATAGTTTCTGTTTGATTTGATACCAAGCGGAGCAACTCTGAAAACTACCTCAGGCAAAATTGCAATAGTGCAATTGCGATCTAAAATTCCATTGTGTGAACTAAGTGCAGACATTTATAGGCTATCTTGTGCCCAATCTCTTGTCCTACTCGTTCCCTAAGATGTACAAGCAGTTACCTGTTCATACTTGTACAGTCTTTATAGAGCTCAGTTAGGAAGAAACTGATCGTCTTAATCAGTTTTTCTGAGTCCGCACCCAGGCTTAACCAATCAAATGCAGTGAGTATCGATGGTAAATCTGGAAAAGTGGAGGGGTTAGGTTGAACAATTTAATAGCGATCACTAACGTGTTACACAAAAGCAAAATACTGTGGGTGTTGAAGATCTGAAATGAAAAACAAAATGTCGAGAAACTCAACAGGTGTGACAACATCTGTGGAAAGTGAAGCAGAGTTACATTTCAAGTGCAATATAACTGATCTTTGAATTGAAAACGGCATGAGAGGAGGGCAGAACCCTTCCAAGGTAGGCATTTGTGGAAGAGAAGTGGCATGGAATGAAACACTGTTATGGTTCCAACTGATTTTAGTACAGGAAGGGTCAGGTTCCAGAATGAACCTGCCTTGGTTGACAATATGTTTAATTTTTGCAGTTGGTTACCATGGTGATTAGTCACTCAGCATCTACACACGAGGCTGCAAATGTTTTTTTTAACAAAGGAACTCGGGTTTATTACACAAAGAAAGGGGAAAAAGTAACAAAGCTATATTAATGACAGCTTAGAAAGATCTTAACATAAACAGCAAAAGAAAGTTTCACCCCATTTCTGAACACTCTCCTTTTCCAGATATACAATCCAAGAGAAATATCACTCCTATCGCAACTCTTTAATTTCCTGCTTAACTGACGCATCCTAATTCTTTTCCTTGAACCGCTGAGACCATTTAATGACTTCTTTTCAAGCATGCTGGCATGAGTTCTGATGGCCTAAATCTCTCATAAGTTCAGATAACTTGAAAATGCCTATACGCTGTCACACCCTGAATTGTTCACAGACCAAAACCACTTGGATAACTGGTTTCCCTGAACTGCTGCTGTGAAGTCAAAACTAAACCAGTGGCCTTAATTTCTTTCTCTGCCATAAACTCAGCAGTATAAGGAGCCACCTTGCTTCCCTCTCCTCTTCCTCTCCTGTCTGCTGTCCTCATTCTCTCCACCTCTCCTCCACCTGCCCTCCCCCTCTCTCTTCTCTCACCCTCCTTCTCCCTTCCCCTCCACGGCTCTTTCTTCCCAAACCCACTGCTCCTTCTCTCCATCCAGCACCACTCCTTCTCTACCCCTCAGCCCACTGCTCCTTCGCTCCATTCCGCACCGCTCCTCCCCTTCCACACTGCTCCATCCCTCGCCCCCCCCAACCACTTCTTCTGTCCCCCTCCACTGCTGCTTCTCTCCTCATCCCACCTCTCAGTCTCTCCCCCCCAAGCTCCGCCACTCCTTCTCACCCCACAACTGCTGCTTCTCTTTCACCCCCAATCTTTCCTCCTCTTTTCCTCCCCTTCCTTCTCTTTTCTCCCACCTCCAACGCTCCTTCTGTTCTCTCCGTCCACTCTTCTTCCTGCGCTGTTGAACTTGTCAGCCCCTCCACCTTCTCCCTAAGTCAGTAGTAGGAAGAGCAGGGGTCCTACAGCAGACTGTGGCCCATAACCAGCTAAACAATGCAGGAGAATTGCCGAACTCCATCTGGACAGTACCATCACCTCTGACTGGGCAATACCCAGTTATTTCCTGTTCTTTCCCAGCAGCCACGAGCCATGATCTGACCTGAGTACCTAACAGTACTGACCAGCACCACACTGAGAATGAGAAGGGAGGAAATGAAGCAAGTCCAGTCACAGCTGACACCCCAGAGAGGGGCAGGAAAGCCACAACTAACCAAGAAGCACAGCCCCACTGTCCAATGGCCCAAGCAAAACCCAGAGCTGGGAGAGGCCAGCAAGATTCCATGGGAATTGATGCTTTAGATTTGAACTTGAAGACTTTTCACTTTAAAGTTATAATTGTTAGTAATGCTAGGAATCTAAAGTGAAGGCATCCTGTAATGAACTTCAGATTAATTGTTAATTGTCAAAGTGCTGGACAGCTTATAATAATTGCTGCATTTGTTGGGTTTTTTTTAAGCAATTTGGGATATACTGAGGACCAGTTCCCATCCTATAGGATGCATCGATTACAGGGAAGAGCCTTTGAAATTCAGAAGTAGTTGAAAATGCAGATTATGTCTAAACTGTTATGCTGGATTTTTACCTGCAAGAGTTCTGCCAAATGCAAGTCCTCTTTTATTTATAGCAGGTATTGGTGTGGCACCAATGTTCTCTCTAATTTATGCAGTAATTTGGAATTTCTTGTGCAGACTGCATACAAGTTAAGCCCTTTAATTTAACACATATATGCTCAAAAAAGAGGTTAGCATATTTGAACAAATTAGTCACATGCAACAAAAATGTTAGAAGCTACATCTATCGGCACATTGCACTATTACTACTTAACTGTTCCGAGACTGGTGAGTTGGAATATAGAAGATATAGACATGAGTGATAATTTACAAATGATAATTTATTAATGATGGGAGGTAAGTGCTGCAATCTGTCATTTGTAAACCAGGAAGAGAAATGTAAAATATTTAAATAATTTGATGAAGCAGGACTGTAATCATCTTTTAAAGTTGGCACGATGTCATACAGACACTTTTCCTTTTAACACAAGTTGAAGCCTGAAGTATCAATATATTTTAACTATATATTGAAAAAAAATTAAATTAATAACAGAACTGGAAGTACTCACTAAACTTGTTCCTGTTTAGTTAATTTTAAAAAATAACTTGTAAAATTTCTGAGAGTTCCTTAGTACCCTGGTGAAAAAGATGACCATCTCTAAGACTTTTGTAAAAGACTGTGGCTAATGGATGAAATGTATAACAAATACACTGGAAATCTAACATTCTGCAAACAAGCTGCAGGTTAGTTGACATCTGTTGAAAGAACATAGAGGTTAATATCACTGATGTGGCCACAGAAACCAGTTCATTAGCCATTAAAGAATGCCTTGCTAACTCTTTCTCACTCCTCAACATTTATTTGTTGCCCTGCCCTGATGGTGCATGCTAATACATTGTTCATTGTGGAACTATATTTTAGTATCATTCTACTTTTACACTGTATCATTATTCTTATTATGTAATCCCTCCTCAAAAGCAGGGTTAACCAAACGAACAGCTCTCAGAATTGATTCTAGTGTTTGGCCCGCAAGCACAGAAAGGAGAAAAGCCTGATTTCTGACCTTTTCCCCTGAAAGTGAATGGCAATGTTGCATTGAGAATATTTCCACCAGCACAGCAGGTAGTTTTGTGTGGAGAAATAGGGAGGGCTGGTGGCGAGGCAGATGATAGAATCATAGAATCCCTACAGTGTGGGAACAGGCCATGGCTAATCCCCCTAACCTATGGGCAATTTAGCACGGCCAACCCAGCTATCCTGCACATTTTTGGACTGTGGGAAGAAACCAGAGCACCCCGAGGAAACTGACGAGGTGAATGTGCAAACTTCACACACGCAGTCGCCCGAGACTGGAATTGAACATGGGTCCCTGGTGCTGTGAGGCAGCAGTGCTAACCTCTGAGCCACCGTGCCACCCCCCTTAAACCATTGTAATAGACTTAGTATATTCAAAATGCTCACTGTTTCTGTCCTCTGGGATCATTCTTTTCATTCCCGAGCCTACTCTGTTCTGAGAGAAAAATGTCCAGTTTTTGCACATTTACAATTTTTTGATAACTGGATTTGAGTCATTCTAGCTATACTGCAATTCATGTTTCAGAGAAGTTTATTTTATGGGTAACATTTGACTTCTGCAAAGACAGCAGTCCGGCTCCTGAAACTTAATGAGAGGGGAATTTTTAAAAATTTTTTCCTGCAATAGTGCACGATTGCCACTACATATAAATATGCACTATTAGAAAGCAGGTTAGTGTTGTACAATTGGAGACGATTGGCAACTGGATGTGTTCGTCCTGCTTGTAGGGGAAGGTGAAGAAAAATTGGCCTGCATGACGATAATTGATCTACGTGTTAGTGTTTTTTTGAGAAGGGAGAACAAACATGACACGGTTTCGGTTCCTTTTTGCAACAATTTGTAATTCTACAGCTCCTAAAACATGGTAAATGTGCCTCATAGGAGAGATACCAAACAACATGTGACACTGAGCTATAATGATATTAGGACAGATTACTACAACCATTGCTGAAGACTTAACTTTAAAAGCTTTTCTAGGGGTTGTGGAGAGACTTCTGGAGGGAGAATTCCTGAATCTACAGTCTTGGCAGCTCAAGGCATAGCCACCAATGCTGAGGCCCAGGGACTTGTGAATGCTAAAGAGGCCAGAACTGGGGGAGTGTAGAAATCTGTGTCATGCGTATGCAAGAGGCTATAAAGCGACAGAAGGGGGGACTAAGTGATATGGCATGACGAGTTTGAATTTGGTGTGCCATCACTGCTTCATGACCAGACTGTTTTTTGTGACTTGTTATGGTTTTACGGTCGCACTTAAATAAGTAATTATGGGAGAATTAATACACATGTAAAATTTCACAACCTGAAAGATGAGGTCATTGATTCCTTTTATATAGTGTCCTCCCTATGAACACTGACGAGTTTATTTTAAATATTGTACGCATCCCCCTTGACAGCCCTCTTTTCCCTCTTGATTCTGTCTGTCACAGACAGAATGAGATGCAGGGATCTCTGGTGTTATTGGGGGTCTGTAGGAACTGACAGCTAAATCCAAGATGTCCATCCCTGTGTTTACTGTGACTGTAGGTCTAGTTCTGTTTCTACAACAACCATATTACCAGGACCTGGGAGCTAGATGTGGCTGGAGGGCCTTTGGTTGGGCACCCCTACACCTGAGTGTCTCTTAAAGCTATTCAGTTTCCTCCCTGTGGGACAAGATCTCACCAGTTTCTGTAAATGTACTGTGTGTTTGGAATTATAGTGCAGCTTTTCACCCACATTGGGCACTGATCAGTTGACAGTTTGCAAAAGACTGTTTTATAAAAAAAGAGTTACTTCAAGAGGATAGAAAAGGTTGTGGTGGTTGTTCAAATAACCTAATGGCATGGTGAAAGCGTGTGGTTGATCTGGTTTGTTTCAGTTCTGTTTGACAATTGGTTACCAATCAATTCTCAGGAGACACATTTCTGAGGTTGTCATTGGATATATATTATGATATTCACAGTAGAATTGCGGTGCAGAGGAGGCCATTTGGCCCTTTGTATCCATACTAGCATAATCTACAATTCTATAATTGAAATTCTGTCTTACAGCGTACTGGAGGTTCTGGTTATGTGTCAGTGTTGTGTACGAGCTGTTCCTTATCTTCATACTTTTTCAGGTAAGTGAATAGTCATTGATTGTTCACTCAAATGTCTTTAATTATTCCCACAAAGCTGCTTCCATATGTTTACATAATAGATCTAACTATTCAAGCAAAGCTTTGTTCTCTTCCTAGTTATGGTAAACACTGGTGTTGATGACACCTCCAAACTCCACAGTGCATTTTTTTGTGGGGGCTCATTGTTCACATTATGTTGTGTTCAGCTGTAAAATACAAATACTGCTTTGAACGATGCTCCCATTTATGAATGCTATTACCAGTCTGGGCTGCTGATGCTCGCAAACGCAGATGTATTGTTCACAGGATTTCAACTGCTCTACTTATTCATTATTAAATATTAAAGTGCTTTTGAGAAGCCTGGTATTGTAGTCAAGGCCATTGTTGAATATGCAGTGTACAATTTAGCTGAAAGCGTTATCTCTATGTTCTCCTTTTGAATTCCACCTTTTGTATGAGGTGAATTTCTACAAGATTTTGGCACCCCTCTTAATTTGGCTAGCTGACTGGCTCTTGAATTGATGACAGAATTAGGACTTTTAAATCTTTAGGACTTTAAATTTGAGTACTTGTTACCCACGTTCCTTCATGTCTCAACATCCAGTTGCATTTTAATTGTTTCTGGCATGAAAGTCTATTGCGATTTCTGTAGGAACTCAGTCTGATGAAATATTTAAAAACAAAACCCAACAGCTTTTAGGTGAGATATAAGCACTAAATTTAGGGAAATAGGAAATGGATTCAGGTGTAGGCCATTCGGCCCATTGAGCTTGCTGTGGCATATAACTAGATAGTAGCTGTATTTCTATTTTAATGGCAGTTTTTGGCACTATGCCATATCCCTTGATATCTTTAATTTTTGGAAATCTATCAATCTCAGCCTTGAATATACTCAATGAATGAGTGACCACAGCCCTCAGGGGTGGAGAATTCCAAATATCCACCTCCCTCCAAGTGAGGAATTCCCTCTTCATCTCAATTCTAAATAGTCTCCCACTTATTTTGAGACTGTGTTTCTTGTCCTAGATCCTCCCAGCTAGGGAAACTCTATTGAGTCCTTTAACAATTGTGTGTACTTAAATGAGATCAAATCTCCTCCTTCTAAGCTGTAGCGAACATAGGCATGGTCTCCTTAATTTCTGTTTATAAAACACTGCCACCATGCTAGAAATCAGTCTGGTGAACCTTTATTGTACTCAAGTCCCACCTGCAATGGAGGTGTGACAAAACATGTCGGAACAGGGTGATTAAAGTAACTGTTTCCGTTAGATAAGGAGACCAAAACTGTACACAGTACTCCAGGTGCTGTTTCATCAAGGCTGTATACAGGTGCAGTTTGATTTACTTTATTCCTGTACTCAAAACCTGTTTACTGAAGGCCAGCACACATTTGCTTCAAGCCGCCATGTTCTAACGTACTCACATAGCCTGAAGCTTGGAAATATTACATTTAATCCTGATATCCAAGTCATTGCAATAGATTGTGAATAGCTGGGGCCTAAGCAAGTTAATGATTTTTTGTTTTTTTTCCACATGCTATAAATATGTTTAGTGCAAAACATGATTGAATTTTTCACTTCTCTATGCAAATCATGATTTCTATCTGCCTTTTCTGTACAAGCATATGATTGCGTGCACATGCATCGTCATGTTCATATATTAGAGATGACCTTGAACCGAGTTGTTCTGTTGAAGCCAATATTGTTAATTTCATCTAAATATTGACGAGCATATTTCTGATTTTAGATTCAGTCTTAACATAAGTATTTGGTTGATAATCCTACCAAGGTTAATTCAAGGGATGGGGTGCTCCAAAACATTTTCATATTTGTCTTGCACAATTACTTAACAAATAATTTTAATAATCAGTTTGTAAGCAATGGGTTCACCCACCAAAGTGACTTTGATTATTTCAAATTCCTCTTTATTGTAGAAACCTTATCAAAGTGGGGCTAAAAACTAATTGCAAACAAAGCCACTAATCTACAACTAATGTATAATTTAATATAGGTGGTGTTAAGAGACTGAAGATAATTCTGTTGTGTTAGCTTGGTTTAGTGGAACAGGGATTTGCATTTAAATGTAATATAGTCCCCTGTCACTTTATATCTGGTCATTTGTGCTGCATCTGACCCGAGTGTATTGATATTGGACACTGGAAAGAAGGCGAGTGTTGTGTTCCCTCTGTCATCATTCTTTACCGTAAGTATTAATTCAAATAGAATGCTTTGTGTAGCTTTATCCATTTTGCTGGTGCATCCTTATCGTTTCTCATGTCAGCATTTTTGTTAATTTCCTGATTTCTCTAACTTGTGCAGATTTTGATCAAAACTTTTTTTTTATTATTAAGCACAATATGCTCTAGGGGTTGAGCTGGTAATTTAGAAGTTAGATGAATAGTGCACTGTTGTGAGGGATAACCTCATGCATATGTTGATTTGACCAATTGATTACAGCATGGTCCTCAAGATCCCTGGTGCCTCAATTCAATTTACTAGGCTGTAGCTTGTGATTGAATTGGCCATTGTACCAGGAGTTAAAGGTCTGAATCTTTCCAGTGAGAACTATAAAATTCCAAAAATGTTTTGTTGTTTCAATTGCAGTTAAATAAGTAATTATTTATGAAGTAACATCTGTTAGTAAAACCTGATTAACCAGAGTCTGTAAATCAATACAGAGTCATAACTTGCTGTTGAAAGCAGCCTTACCGTTATTATAATATTCAATCCCAAAGCCCGATCCTTGACCAGATGACAGATCATAATTATTCCATGTAACAATATCTTGATCTCATTGATAGCATTGAGATTCAATGGGGGAAAAAATATCAACCTACCTCTTTTTGCTGCTAACAACTTATGAGTGATTCCTCTAAATGGACATTGAGCTAATTGAGAGCTGCTTTAGAAAAGAGGATGAGGTTAATCCTGGGTTTCTCTTAGAAACACAAATGGCATTACTTGGTACCTGTGGGGAGAGTAGAAGAAAACTAATTCAGCAGTCTTGATGTGTATGCAAACTTCAACATTTGTAAGCTGTTGTGTTTGTGATCCCACAAACTCAAGTATGCTCTTCACAGCTGCATGTGTAGTGTCTGAGAAATCTGCATGGATACGAGCCAATGGATAAATACTGTTTCCTTCATCTCTACTTCCCTAATTACCCAATTCTGCTGCATTTATGATGTCTGATGTTTATGCTCAATTTTTTTGACTAATCTGTCAAGAGAGTAAAAGTACTGCATTCAAAACGACACAGGGTACTCATGATAGCAAAGATATGAAACATCCAGAGGAGACCATTCACCCTGTCAAGCACATGCATGAGGTTGTTGACTTGCTCGCCGAGCTGGCTTGTTTTTGTTCAGACATTTCGTCACCATGTTAGATAACATCATCAGTGAGGCCTCCAATGAAGCAATGTTGTTCTATTCCGCTTGGGATTTATACTGTCTGGTCCGTTATGATGAGTAGTGTCATTTCCGGTTTTGTTCTGTATGGGTTTGTGTATGGGATCTAATTCTGTATGCTTGTTGATTGCGTTATGGGTTGAGAACCATGCCTCTGGGAATTCCTGTGTGTGTCTATGTTTGGCTTGGACTGCTATGGTTACATTGTCGCAGTTAAACTGATGGCCTTTGTTGTCCGAGTGTACTGATCCTAAGGAAAGTTTGTTGTGCCGTTTTGCTGTTATCTGATGTTCGTGTATTCTGATGGCTAGTTTCCTTCCTGTCTGTCCGATGTAATGTTTGTGGTAGTTGTTGCATGGTATTTTGTAAATTATGTTCGTTCTGCATGTTGTGGAAATGGGGTCTTTAATTCTTGTGAGTGTTAGTTGTGGAGTGGCCGTGGGCTTGTGGGCCACCATGATTCCTAGTGGTCTTAGAAGTCTTGTTGTCAGTTCTGATATGTTCACCCCAACGTCCACAAGTTGTATTAGGACACTATTTAAATGGCTACCACTCACTGCAACGTGCCAGAACTACACAGGAAAGAGGAAGAACACCTATACAAAATCTTTACTATGAACGGATATCCCTGCAACTTCATCCGCAGGTGCCTACTAAACAGACAACAACAGGAGGACACAGTATGCCTTAACATACTGGCCACACTGCCCTACAGCAAGAACATATCAGAACTAACAACGAGACTCCTAAGACCCCTAGGAATCATGGTAACACACAAGCCCACAGCTACTCTATGACAAACACTCACAAGGATTAAAGACCCCATTCCCACAATATGCAGAATCAACATAGTTTACAAAATACCATGCAACGACTGCCACAAACTTTACATTGGATAGACAGAAAGAAAACTAGCCATCAGAATACACGAACGCCAGCTAGCAGCAAAACGACATGACGAAGCTTCCTTTACATCAGTCCACTCAGACAATAAAGGCCATCAGTTTAAGTGGGACAATGTAACTATAGTAGCCCAAGCCAAACATAGGAATGGGAAGCATGGGAATTCCTAGAGGTATGGTTCTCAACTCATAATGCAATCAACAAACATATAGAAATGGACCCCATGTACAAACCCATACAGAACAAAACTGGAAATGACACTATCACCATACTGGACCGGACAGGATAAATTCCAAGCGGAGTAGAACAACATCGCTTCATCGGAGGCCTCACTGATGATGTTACCTAGCATGGTGACAAAATGTCTGAACAAAAACAAGCCAGCTTGGCGAGCAAGTCAACAACCTCACCCACAACCCGAGCTACAAATCTTTGCTAAAACCTTAAAGCACGTGCATCCATAGAAACCCTAGTGTCCTCTTCTACTCCATTGGCATAGCATTTGACAATATCAAAATTTGTTGAAGAGCTGTTGCTTTCTCTGCATTTCTCTCAAGGCTATTGTAGGTTTTCAATCAACCTGCTTGAAGTGCTTCCTGATTCTTCTTCTAGGTTGTCTTTTACAAGTTTGTTGATGTTTAAATTAAATAATGCTCTGGATTTACCTTTGCTGTTCCATGGTGCAATT